GAGAAGTGCATCTCTCCTGAACATACACTACATGGAGGTGGGGGGAGAAAAAGCAATTAGCTTAGCATATTTGTGTTTCACGCATTTGATACAACACTCTGCGTAGCCTTTGCTAAGCAGAAAAGAAAATATATGGCTATGGTTACACAAATGTATATCCAGAACAACTTGATTGCTTTTAGCAGCGTTTCTCCAAGTTGTGCCAGTGTCATAATAGGAAACTGCACGTGGGTAATGGAGGAATAAAAGACTCAAAAGGAACAGCATCTGGAAACACTGAGGAGGACAAGGTGTTTTAAAAATGATTCCATGACAAGCTGTTCATAAAAGGGTAGTCTACAGTAAACAAGCTGCCAAACAGCACTGGAGACTGTGCTGCGTTTTGCATCTGAGCCATAAAACGCCTTTTGTGCTCACACGTAATCAGACGTGGACGCAATCGTCTTGGCCCACCCTGGACCTCCTCGCGGTGGCAGGAGCCACGGCCCTGCTGCTAACGATGGTGTCAGAGTGAGCACAAACACAGCTGAGCGGTTTCCAGCACCGTTTGGAGAGGGCTGACCTCTTTGGGTCTGGAAACGATTGCAGTATCGTCTGCTCCAGTGTGTGAGTTGTTCATGTCACCTCTGCAGCTGCACCAGCATCTGAGAACGAGCAAGCCCAGGGGCCAGCAGCAGGAGCAAAGCCCAAGGCTGCCCACCCGCGCGTGCTCCTCGGTGGCATCCTTGGCCAAGCACTCCAGAGTGGTCCTAGAACAAAGGGACAGGGATGGTGGGAATGTCTGGCATCTTTCTGGTGTCTAACAAGACCACTACTCTGCAAAATAAAGCTGAAATTGCAGGGGGAAAGCATTTTTCACTCTTGTTGAGTAACACAAACCAAAATGACGTCTTCCACAGAAGACCAGTAGCATCATCTTCTCATTGCAGGGTTGTCCTTGTTACCGCTTTCATAGTTGAACAAGCCTGTGGAGACCAGGGTCTCTATTCAAACCTATCAGAAGATATGATCTTGGTTCTGAAAAACATAAACTCACTTTCCTTAATAAGCGAACGTATCCAAAAAATCCTCTGTGGATGCCTAAAATGCACCTTTATTATACAAAAATTTCTTATGCCTCTTTTTTTTTCAGCAAGATACTTGTGTTTATGCCTGACACCACCATAGTGTTTTTCTCTAAGTACCACTGTTATACCCCTTGGCCTGGGAGCTAGGGGCAATTGTGGAAGAACAAAATACAAAATTTGGGGCATATTTCAATGCACATGAGGCCCTGATGGATAGGAGAGGTGCAGAGTTGTTCTGAACAATTTACAGTTGCAAATACCAAAGCTCTTCAGACCCTGGTGAGTGAACGCTGAGGCCGTGTGAGGAGGGCGCTAGCAGCAGACAAGCAGCAAGGGCAGAAGAAAAGGAGACTGCACCACAGCAAAGCTCATGGAGAATATTAGGACAGTCATCAAACTAAAATGGATGTAGGGAAGTAGAGATTGCCTGATTCATGGTTACATGCCAAGAAGGAGTGGTTGGAAAAAGGAGGAGAGGAGGCTGAAATCCATAGATGTTTTCTGCAGTGGAAAGTCATGCTGACTCATGTCTGAGGGGAACCACAGGAGCTTGTATTTCTATGAAGATATTTTGGGAGCATGCTGCCAAGCTCTGTTCTGAAATCAGGAGTAAAGTCGAAGGAAGAACTGACAGCCAGCAGCAGGAAAGATGACAAGCAAAACATGAAAGAGAAAAATACTTTGTCCGTGACCAGAGAGCAGCCTGTACCAAAGGTTTCCACAGAAGAACACATGTATTGCACAGCTGTGGGATGTTGAATTTTGAAAGCACCTTTTCCTAAGGACCATTTCATCTGATTGCACTGACTTCTGGGTTTCAGATTATCTTCTCTCCATTTTTTTTTTTTTTTTGGGAGATTGCTGTTTTAGCTATAACTCCCTAGAGGAGAGTATTTGAAGATACAACATACTGTTAGAGAAATAGGAAAACCATGTTATTTCCAAAGATCTTGTATGACTCCTGAAATCAACAGTGTGAACTGCTGCTCTACACTGCACTACAAATTGGAAAAAAATATATATATATATGTATATATATGTATCAGCCTGGTTCCTTAATGAAGGCAGAGTCGGTGCTTGTTTTTACTAGGGCTGATTCTTCTTGCTTTTTTAAAAACAGGCAAACCAAAATCCTAGATTTTTCTCTGGTGCATTTTTGTTGTGAATCTTGCAAAGTATTATCTTCTTCAAGCACTGCACTTTCTCCCTTTTTTTTTTTTTCTGATCATTTTTCACTAACGCATAACCAGGAGGTTATTTAAAGCACTCCCATCTCCCTAGGCCAGCAGATGACAGTCTGATAGAGCAGTGGTTTTGGTGTACTATTGCTTATCACGTTTTTGCCCTTTAGGTGCCAACCTGGATTCACTGGAGCAAGATGTACTGAAACTCTGCCCATGAAAATCCAAAACCAAGAAAGTATGTTAAAATAATCTGAACTTTGCTTTCTCCCCCAACTACAGCAACAAAATCAATAGTACTTGGTGTTTTCACAGTTCAGCTGGAACTGGCCTCTTTATGCACTAATTTATGACCTGATTTGCTAAACTGGAATCTGTACACCATGGCATTATCGACCTCCAAAATGTTTCTCATTTGTGTGATTTTTAATCTTTCCATCCATTCGCAGATGCATTTGTATTGCACGCACAGGCAGCTATCTTGTTTGGGAGACTGCTGCAAAGTGCTGCTTTAAAAGAGCAAACTCACCGAGATGAGATCTTGTTTCCTAGCTGCCTTGTGAAAAAGTACACTCAAAAAGCAATTTGGGAATTTGGAACGGTGAATTTCTCTCTCATTTCTCGAAATGCACTTTGATCTGGATTGATTGGTTTGGTTTTGGTTATTTTTGCTGGGGGGAGATTTCTTTTCCACTTCCACAGAGCAAGCGAGTTGCTCTCAACATCTTGAGCCATTTTGACATGCAAAACCGAGATTCAGTTTCTGAAAGTGAACTCACCAAGTCAAATCAGTTCACACTGAAGGAGCTTCTTTCTTAGCATATATTCACCTCTTCTCTTTTCTCTGTTTTTTCTCTACCATTTTTTTTGTTTGTTTTTCCTCTCAGGTGCCCAAATGAATTTACTGGTGATCGCTGCCAAAACTACGTAATGGCCAGCTTCTACAGTACGTCCACTACCTTTCTGTCTGTGCCGCAGTAGAAGCATGCTCAGTCGGTGCTGCTTTCTTGTTGCTGCATCTTTCCTCCGATTTTTTTTTTTTCTTAATCTGTAACTAGATTTGTTGCCTTCGGCCTAATATTGATCGTCTCTGCCTGTTGCATGAAAATATGGTAACTAAAAGTAATTGCAATACTCTCCTGGATTGTTTGGCATTGAGGTTATGGAGAAATGCGAGACATAGGAACGCTGTAAAATTAACACTGAATGGTGCAATTTGGACTCCCCACTGACATCAAGCAGTAAAAGTGCAAAAATTACATTTTGAAAGTCTCACGTTTTATTTGACACAAAAATCTCATGAATCTTTATACAGAGCAGCACCTCCCCAGTAAAGGGATGTATAGCTAAACCTCTGCTCATGTATGAGGTTTGTATTTGGAACCACAGGTTAAAGGTAACTCAGAGGTTTGCGTTGTTTCAAATGAACACACTCCAAAGAGGAACAAAGTGCTCTTCCTGCATGTGGTCCAAGTTTAGGCGAAAGAGAGCGTAGAGAGAAAGAGAGGGAGGGAAGGAGTGAGGGAGGCAGGCAGGCAGGAAGGAAGGAAGGAGAAAAGAGAGAAAGAGGGAGAGAAAGAAAGAAAGAAAGAAAGAAAGAAAGAAAGAAAGAAAGAAAGAAAGAAAGAAAGAAAGAAAGAAAGAAAGAAAGAAAGAAAGAAAGAAAGAAAAGGAAAAGGAAAAGAAAGAAAGAAAAGTCCTAAACAATGGGGACTGACATTTTTTATTTGTGGGTGACAGCTGCAAGAGATTCAGTATTTCAGAGCCAGATTAATTGGCCCAAGAAATGTGCCATATAGACCTCCTCTGGAGCTCAACACACATGCACAAGCACACACACTAAAAGAGAGAAATCTGTTTTGTGAGACTGCTGGTAAAACCCACACTGCAGTCAGATCATCTTGTAAGATTTCCCATGGAGCGACTGGTTAATTATTATTAATTGTCAGTGCAATAGCAGAAAGTACACTGAATATTTATTTTCTCTCATTGGCTTTAATAAAGTCAAAGGGAAAAATATAAGAAAATTGCTTAGATTTTACATTTTTAATTCACGTATGCTATTCATAATTAATTGTTGCTGGCATCAGATTTTACTATGATCTAAGAGGAGTACAATAGGAAGTATTTTCTTTGATGGATTGCTTGCCAGCATGGAAAGATTTCAGAGACTATAGGGTAGCTTAATTTAATTTCCATTACTACATAGGATAAAAAGCTGTTAGCATGTGCTGGACATTTTGGAGCCTGGAGAGATGCATAGGTTTTCTCTTACACTGATGGATGAAAAATGTCCATACATAATTCATAGTGCCCATCACGGAAGTAAACCATGAAATTCCCAAGGGCATTGACTGGAGACTAGACCTTCTAGCATTCAAGTGTTTATTTTATTCCCTGTTTTAAAAGCTTTATTAGTGTAAGTTATTTTTAAGACCCTTCTAGTACCTATAGATTCAAAAATATTTAGGCTACTACAGTGTTTTATACTACCAAGTGTTAGATTTGAATGGCCTTTTCTGTTTAGTGTGATGAAAAGTAAAGTTAAGGTTTCATATACCTAAAAGAACCATTTTAAAGAAAATGGTGAAAAAAGAGAAAATTCATTTTTTGAAATTTACCTTTAAAACCATGAACGAACTGTATATGGATGATAAAATATTTTTCTTCTCAGAAAAAAAAAAGAGAGAAAAAGAGAGATTTAGGTGAGTTCCCCCTCATTAGTTTTTCAGTTTCCTATCTCTGTGTGGGATTTTGAAGGAATATTTGGGCAGTACACACCATGGGGTTTTATGAAGCAGCCTTCATCAAAAGGGCAAGGATGTTCTCACCTGGTAGCAGGAGATATGCCCAGTTACAGGCATTTAAGCCAGTCCAGCCAACATCTCTTTGCTATGCAGTGGCATGAGAGCACCCGAGAAACCTCCTGCTGCTCTGCAAATCCGCAGTAAGGGCTATTGGATTCCAGCTCCACCTGCCTGCCGCACATCTGCAGCATAACGTCAGGTTTTTGAAGCTGCTGCAGACCTTAAAATGACATTTTTGGAAGGGATCCAGGGAGGGTGCATTTATATTTAGCAGAAAAATCAATGAAGAAGCATTTATATGACTTTATTATTATGCAAAACACAAGCAGGGCATACAATTAAAAAGGAGTCTTAGAATGAGAGTTCTCTTCAGGCAAACATTTGATTTGGGGCTGAAAACCAAGTTCATATTTTGCACCAAGTGTAGCAGGTGATTGATTTTATTTAGCTCTGTCAAAGCAGCTTTTGCAAATTACAGAGAAAACCAGGAAGTTAAATAAAGCAAGTGCCAGCAGGAAACACAAATGTGCATGTGAACTATACAGTACAGCTAGCATCACAAATCTGCTCTAGAGTCAGGCTTTGTAAAAGTCCGGAATTTAACCAGGATTTTGCTGGTGGCCTTTTGCTGGATAAGAACTAGACCAACGCTGACCATTTTGAAAATGCTCCCCAACATGTTGCAAGGCTAACCGGTTTCTCTTGGGATTGCTTTGTTTAGCCCTTGAGGATTTGGTTATGGAAAACAGATTGAAAAAAAGAACCAAGCTAGAGCTCTTGAAAATCAAGAAAACTTAAGAAATGGTTTTCACTTCTGCCACTGTAAGCTTGAACGTGGCTGGGAATGGGCATGAGGGTAACTCGTGGAAGGCGCTTGTTGAGGCTGACAGTCCCTGGACATCCAGGGCACTACGACATTAGATGACAGGGCGAAGCATCCCGGCCAAGAGGCAACAGCCAGTCCTCTCACCCCGCTGTAGTCACCTCCAGCACCACAGTTATGCAGGGTCTCACTTTTAGCTGGTGCTCCCTGACACTGCGGACAAGGGGGAATGAAGGAGAAACGGCGCTGAAATGCCTTTCCCCTGAGCAGAGCGTCCCCACCTGCCACACGGTGTTTTCCCTGGTCTCACCAAGTAAGGACGGGCGGATTTGGGAGAGGCACAGTTTAAATCTACTGCGTGGGTGTTGGCCGGCAGTTCATGCCGCATCCACAGATCCCAGGTGATGCCAGAGCACCAGATGTCTTTCTGCTGCAGTGGTTTTGACCTTGGAGCTTATGGCCCATGAGACATCGGAAACTGGTCTGCAAAACTGTTGCAAAAAAGCATATATTCCATGCAGATACATTTTCAGTGTTTTAAATTTTTACACTTGGAGGAAAGAAAGTAAAGCAAATGGAGAACAATAAAATTAATGCTGTAACATTAGAAGTTCAGGCTGATATTCACACTGTTGCCTGTGAGTATAGCAACACTGCAGAATAGTCCTTGGATTCAGAAAGAATGAGGAGCCTTAGATTAATAAAAGATTGAGGGCATTAGAGCAAAATCACAGGTAAAATCCTTGTCCTTTCAATGTGTCCCAGGTGGGCCAAGGACTCCTTTCTAAGGGTCTATTTTAATTTACCAGTTAGTAAATGGTTGGTGCTGGTTAACATTATATATCTGTGCTAGAAGATGCAACATCACATAAGGCTTACTCTAAGCATCCTCCTACATGGACTGGATATTCAAAAGTGTCCCTGTATTCCTAAAGTCAAATATTTCATCATGGGACACTGGTCTAAACTGTGCCCCCTTTCAGCCCTGCCATTCCTTCTGAACCATCCAGCCAGGAGGAGCAGAGGGAAATTCCTGTTGAGATGATACCTCCTGCTCCATATCCTAAAGATGTGCTTGGCTGACAAATTAAAGGGGGACTCAGGCAAGAGCTGAGAAGGGCTATGAGGGGTGACCACATCTTGGCTGTAGACTGAAACAGCCTCTATTTTCAGTACATCCAGCAGGACTTGAAAAGTCTAGTGTTCAGCACTTGTACTATTTCAGAAGATTGGCCCCATTCCACATAATTCTAAAGTGATCCCATATTTTGGAGGGCACTAGATAATATTATCTGAAATTTCTAGTTTCTGATGCACCCTTCATGGGCTGAGACCAAAACTCCAAAATGATACAGCAATTTGAAAAATAATTTTGTCCATCTTCTGCCCAGGATTAAGAAAGGAACAGTTTTTAACTATAAACTGTTCAGTTAACATTCATGAAATCGTAAAGCTGCTATAATAAAAGACAGGGTTTTATTTCCAAATGATCTGTTCTGACTTCTGAGATTTGCACTCATTGTAGAGCAAAACTTATATAGGAGCTGTAGGACTTTGCATGCCATGTTAAAAAAAAAAAAATCTTTTCAGCCTGACTACCGTGTAAAGGGACTGAGACTTAAGAGTCCGAAGTGCCTATGCCACTCAAAGTGAGGGCATCATGCATCCTCAAGCAGAGCTGGCCAACTTGTAGGGGTTTTGGCTTGAGATGGTTCTGTGGATCCTACATTGTTCTCAACCCAAGTTTCATAAAAGCCAAAGTTTTTAGAATTACTTGTGATGCAGAGAACAAAATTAATAATAAAAATTAAGGAGGCTGTGTCCGCACAAAGCCATGCTGCTCCACATGGCTGGATCATCCAGTCCATCCAGGTCAGGCATCGTAGTCCAGGGTTCAGTGGCTACCTGATGGGCTAGACTGGCCATCCCAAAATCTTGGGTGCCTGGCAGCTGAGGGACACAGTCCATGAACACATTGCAGACCTTCAGGAAACCTGCTCCAGCACTTCCAATTCTGCAGCCACCCCCAAAACACATATAGAAGGAAAACAACCGTTAAAAATAATTATATTTCTTATTAAAGCTGCAGGCCAATTTTACAGTAGGAAACGCAATGCATTTAATAAATATGCAATAATACTGGATTAAACAGGAAAAAATCAAAATAATGACCTGTTCATAGAATGAAAAGTGTTGTACTCTGCTTTCTTTTAATCAGGACTAGGAAATGTGGCTATTAATAACAATTATTAGAGCTTTATGGAGTCTAGGTTTGAATAAGCATGGCATGTTTCTTCAGCATGTTTTCTTTCTAGGGCTTTTAGTCAGACTATATTCCCATTTTAAGTTCCAGGTTCCCATTGAATTATGTGAAATAGAAACTGCATGATATGAATGACTTCCCCTAAAATTAAATTACACCCAGGCTAGCAGTCTTACCTATAAGCAAGCAGTAATATAGATGCATGGGCATGTCATTCATTTTATTGAAGACTTAACCAAGCTTTCTATGCAACTAATGTATACTGTTAGCAGTGTTCACACAGGCATGTAATACTGGCTCTTTAGGAAGAGATCTGGATGAATTCCAGCTTATTTAACTTTTAAAATGTTACTTACAAACTGTTTAAAAATCCACCCTGTCAGGAAACTAGGATTGCATTTAAAATTAAACTCGAATGAGGACAAAAGAATAAACAGAAAGCAAGAGCTAACGTGGTCATGGTGTTGTCCCCATGGGAGGAGGAAGGGGATTTTGGCCGGAGCTGTCCCTCTGCGGTGTGTCAGCGAGACCCTCCTAGCAGCCCAGGCGGTGGGTGCTCTCCAGGCCCATTTGGGTTGTCCCTCTGCCCCGTGGAGCCCCCCATGGCCAGGATGAGCTGGGGAAGGTCATTTAGGCAGCGGGTCTGCACCTGGGGAGGAGGATGCTCAACGCTTTTGGATGGAGATGCCTCTCCCTCTATGGTCTCACCTGGAAACACCTCTCACACGGCACCCTCGAGCCGTGGTCCCGCTCACCTCAATAAGATCTTTAAGGGGTAATGGTTCCCACTGTATTTCCACTGCATTGTGCCCGCTCAGGCGCCTTATATATATTTTGGTGTGTAGTCCACCCCAAAGCTCTGGTGACGTCACTTACAGAGGCATACTTGAGCACTGCCCATGTAACCACATGCCCCCTGGGTCCTGTTCCATGTGCAGACACAGAATAGCCATAATACTCATGTGTGATTTGTTTTTTGAGTACAGTGTATTGCTCTTTTCTGAAACTTTTTCCTTTTTTCTTTCTTTTTTTTTTGTCAACTTTCTGCATTGGCAGAGCATCTTGGGATTGAATTTATGGGTATGGACCAATCATTCCTTTTAGCCTTCAGATTTTAGAGCCTGAGAGATAACCCCTTCCCCCTTTTTTTTTTTCCCTCCACCACCCTTTTTCAATTCCTAACCAATTTCTTTATGCTTTAGAAGGGATCATACAGCTATAACAACAACCCCTGTGGAAACGTAAGCAGCAATCAGCTCACTGGAATGGTAACAGTGACAGGATAGTGCAGAAATAAAACATTTCAGGGACTACAGAAGTAATCACAAGATACTGTACCTTCATTTTTCTGTTGTAATTTCAGCTAGTTTTGACATCTGCTTTTGACAATTTCTTCTAGGCTTTCTGGATTTTGGAAACACTTACTGAATGCCTTAGGCAAAGTGGCTAACAGAGTCTAAAAGAAAAAAATTGATAAGCTTGTAATTGGTAAGCCACTCAAAATTCCACAATTCTGCAGTTTTGAGCCCTGATAGCCAAGTAAAGGTTAATGTCTAAATCCAGAGCTAGGGAGCTAAAGCAGATGCATGTACATACGCAGAAATGATACATATATGTGTGTGTGTGTTTCTAGGCATGCAAATAAATGCTGACTTGAAAGCCATCTAAGAATTTAAGTAGAAGGCTGCACACAGGTTCTAGATCCTCAAGTCAGAAAATATATTCAATAATTGTAATAACAAGTCCATGAGTCCATACTGCACCAAGCCAAGAACATTGACAGTGAGCACCAGTTTTACACGAGAGCTTAAATCCTGTTCACGTATAGACTGCACTTACCAGATAAACATTTAGTAATCAGGGATACAT